CTTTTTCTGACTTTATTTTTCTTTGTTTTTTTCTACAGTGGGTATTCTTTGTTGCGAGATCCACACCACAACAAAGGACTTGCCTTCACTGATAAAGAGAGAGCCGCGCACTACTTGCGTGGCCTTCTTCCCCCAACAGTCGTTTCTCAGGAACTTCAGGTTATTTTTTTTTTTCACTTAGTTGCCTTTCCACCAATTCTTTTAGCTTTTTATGTTGGGTTTTGTCTTATACGAAATGCAATTAACCTTTTCGCCGCTCTACTTGCCAGGTGAAGAAACTGATGCATATTATTCGCCAATATCAAGTTCCATTACAGAAGTACATGGCTATGATGGATCTTCAGGTAGCCACACAGTTCCCTCTGATTCCTGGGCTTTAGATTTTATATTTGGGATCATGATTCAACATTCAGAGGTTTCATTGTGTTATTTTATTGTCTCTAATCAACTGATGTTATTGCAAAATATTCTAGATTAAGAAACAAACTTTCTTCGCTAGTATGTGCCATTCATTTCTGTAGTGCAACTGATGCTACAAGCAACTGTAATTAGTTTTGAAGATAATTAGGAACATAATTCCCATCACAATCTCTACTTTGATTTGGTGGACAAAGTAAAATAAATGCACTACCCTAATTGCAGGAGAGCAATGAAAAATTGTTCTACAAGCTTCTCATTGACAATGTTGAGGAAATGCTCCCTATCGTCTACACTCCAACTGTCGGTGAAGCTTGCCAAAAATATGGAAGCATCTTTGGCCGTCCTCAGGGTCTATATATTAGTTTGAAAGAAAAGTAAGTTCTGTAGATTCTATTTCTACTTAATCAAATTTCAGTAACTTGCTTTGAATGAATACTTTCTGAATACCTGTGATGAAGCTTGTAAAACAATCATTTTCAGGGGTTGCATTCATGAGGTTTTGAGGAACTGGCCTGAGAAAAATATTGAAGTCATTGTTGTCACTGATGGAGAGCGGATTTTGGGCCTAGGGGACCTAGGCTGTCAGGTGAGCTCTATCAGAATGCACTCTCTATACTCATGGTACATTGTTTTCATATCTACACATGCATGCAGCTGACTCATCAGTGACTAATGTTCATAGGGCATGGGGATTCCAGTAGGGAAACTAGCTTTGTATACAGCACTTGGTGGAGTTCGTCCTTCGGCTGTAAGTGCTATCACCAGAGCACTTCTTCTTTTTTAAGTTTATTTTTGCTTTTCTTGTTCTCTTTCCATTTTAATGCACTTGAATCCAGAAGTCACATGCTCCTCAAATTTACATGATGTGGTTACCTTTTCCAGCTATGTCTATTATTGCATCTGGGTCTGGCACTTCTAATCTAGCCTTTCCAACAAAAAATTGCGTTTTCCTGAATGTCTTAATTGCACAATGCTGTCATAGCACATTTATTTCCATCATTTATTAAAATAGCCTGATGGTGTTGTAGGTATCAATAAATTTTCTTTATTGGTTATTATGCTTAAATTGTAGATGATGTGACAATTGATGCGCAACAAATATTGCATGTTGTTGTAGTTTCCCTTTTAGTGAAATTGCAAGTGTCAAATTTGGTCAATTATTGCAGTGTTTGCCTGTAACAATTGATGTGGGGACCAACAATGAGAATTTGTTAAACGATGAGTACTACATAGGGCTCAGGCAAAGAAGGGCAACTGGACAGGTACTTTATATGTTTACGTGACTTGGACAGTCTTCCTTTATGCATGTGAGGTTCATTTACAGATCTTACATAATTTTCTGCTGTATTGAAGTGGTATTACTATTCATTTTTCTAGGAATATGCTGAACTGCTACATGAATTCATGTCTGCTGTCAAGCAGACTTATGGCGAGAAAGTCCTCATTCAGGTAGTTGATGATAGGCTTAGACATTTATGTTTATTTCTTTGCTTGTATATACATTTTAAGTTTTATTGAAATCCGCTTATTAAACTTTGCAGTTTGAAGACTTTGCAAACCACAATGCTTTTGATCTGCTTGCAAAATATAGCACAACTCATCTTGTTTTCAATGATGATATTCAGGTAATTCTATTTATTTGTGATAATTTGAGCAGTTGGGCTGGCAAGACTCTAATATCTAATTACTTTATTTCAGGGCACAGCATCAGTGGTCCTTGCAGGGCTTGTTGCAGCCCTAAAGGTAGTTGGTGGAACTTTAGCTGACCACACATTCTTATTTCTTGGTGCTGGAGAGGTGAGTAGATGCTGGGGTGTACTGAATGACCCTCTTTCTGTTTGCCAATGACTTTGAAAATAACTGGGGAAATTTGTAGGTTACTAAGTAAACAAGGAAAAGGATAAATTGCTTGCCTTCTATTATTTTATATCATACTTGTATTGCCATTATCCTCACCCTGCTTGCTCTTCATTTTCTGTTGTGTCTGATTACAGGCTGGCACTGGAATTGCAGAACTCATAGCCCTTGAGATTTCCAAACAGGTCTCCTAGAGCGCCTTCCTTTTTATGTTGTTCACAATTTGCCCCTTGGATATGATTACTGAAAGCATTGGATGTCAAATAACTTGGGAAAATTATGAATTATACCTGATTCTTTATGCAGACAAATATGCCAGTGGAAGAGACTCGCAAGAAGGTTTGGCTTGTGGACTCAAAGGTAGCAGTGCAAACCTATTGGCTTCTAGCTGTTTGGAGTTGAATGCTCTTTCCTCGTTCCTTTTATTTTATTTCTATCTGTTAAATATTCACACAAATTCCTTTGCAGGGGTTGATTGTTAGTTCCCGCAGGGAATCACTCCAACATTTCAAGAAGCCCTGGGCTCATGAACATGAACCTGTTAAGACACTTCTAGATGCTGTTAATGTACGACTCTCCCTCCCTCCCTCTTCCTCACCATCTGAGCTCCCTTTACCCATCTCATAAGCAAAGATGTCACAGTCTCTTCTTTTTTATTGCCTTCTATCATCAGGACATCAAGCCAACAGTGTTGATTGGAACATCAGGAGTTGGAAAAACATTTACTAAAGAAGTGATTGAAGCCATGGCCTCCTTCAATGAGGTAAATTTCTGTGTGCTCATCTAGTTTTGTGTTGGAGAGCGTGCTCTAAGTAACCGTATTCTATATGACTACGTGCAGAAACCTATAATTCTCTCTCTTTCCAACCCAACTTCACAATCTGAATGTACTGCTGAAGAGGCCTATACATGGAGTCAGGTAATATGAACAGCCAACTTTAATAAATGGGAAATTAACATTATCAAGGAGGATAGATTTTTCATATGGTTCTTGTTTGGTGTGCTGTTGTCCATTTAGATGACTGGCTGTTGAACAATTATGAGTCTAATAGATCTCTGTTTGTTACTTTCAGGGGCGTGCCATTTTTGCTAGTGGAAGTCCATTTGCTCCTTTTGAATATGAGGGCAAAACTTTCATGCCTGGCCAGGTAGGAAGTTCATAGAATTAGGTTTTCTTTATTTTATTTATTTGATAAATTGAAAATTGACTTTGGTTTTTACCTTTTTGCTGTCATTCAGGCAAACAATGCATACATTTTCCCTGGATTAGGTCTGGGTCTAATAATGTCTGGTGCAATCCGTGTCCATGATGACATGTTGCTGGCTGCCTGTGAGTGAACTAAAAATTTAAATGTAACCATCATTATGCAATTTTTTTCTTGCCATTGCATGAAATAACTAGGTCCTATTATATCAATATGCAGCACCCTTCATAACTCCCAAATCTTTTTGATATTTATAAGCATTTGTTTTTTTCATTCCCCGGGATTGATCACAGTATCTTATTGAAATTTGATCACATGATTCTGAGTTGGGAAAATTCTGGGAAGAATGATGAGGATGCAACTTAATTACAGCTAATGTTATATAGTTCTTTACTCTTAGGATTTTGTTCTTTTTTTTTCTTTTTTTTTTCGGGTAGTAATGTCTTGAAGAACCATCCACAATTTTTCATGTTGGTGGCTAAAATTCTCAATGATGCCTCCTGGAATTTTCATACTAATCAAGAGAAATGTTTGTTTTTGTTTTGGTATCTGTTATACAATTTGGAATAAATATATTTTCCTCTTGTAGTTCTCAATGTCAGTATGTTTAGGTAGATGAATATTAGGAAGAATTAATTCTTAGGTTTTCATTGATAACTGATTGCTTCTTTTTACTGGTTTTCCTGGTACAGCGGAAGCTTTGGCTGCTCAGGTGACTCAGGAGAACTTTGATCAGGGACTTATCTACCCTCCATTCAAAAATATCAGAAAGATTTCAGCAGAGATTGCTGCGAAAGTAGCTGCTAAAGCTTACGAGCTTGGTGAGTTTTTTTTTTTTGTTGGTTACGTTTCATTCTTCTGCAATCTGCTCATATGGATCTCTAGTAGATCCAAAAGTGTATACGAACTTCAATATCGCCTTATGTAGGTTTGGCTACGCGCGTTCCTCCGCCAAGGGATCTGGTGAAGCATGCTGAGAGCTGTATGTACAGCCCTGCTTATCGAAGCTACCGGTGAAGTGATGTGAGCTTCAAATCAGTCCTAGGCTCAGGAAAAGAAAAGTCCATTTTCAATACAATAATCAGCTGGGCTTCCATTTGTTGTTTGTTCTTTTGTTAATTTTTTTGGGGACTTCTTGCTCTTCCCAGTGTTGTAACTGTGTTAGGCATTTGGTAGGTAAGAAGCAACAGTAGGTGCTGGTAGTTGGATGAATGCAGTCAGATACAGCATGAAAAAGTTGTTGAAGACTTGAAAAAAAAAATTACTTGAAAATGAAAAACTCATATTTAAAGTGTTCATTGGATTGCGTTTAGACGGAATATAAAATCTTCAGATATCTCTGGGATCCAACCAATGCACTTGCTCGGAAGTCCCTCCCCTATCCTGACAGTATCCGAGGAAAGAGGAGGAGGTTTATAATACATTATTTTTATTATTATTGTACATATGACTATAGGGCGTGGGAAATCACTGTTTTCCCCGCCTAAATGACTAGATGCACTGTGGATTACTGTTGTAATCTACAGTGCATTTTTTTTTCATTTTTTTTCGAACTTTCCCCCTATTTTTACTGTTTCTAAATTACTTTTCTTTTGTTTTTTCAACTTTCATATGTTTTCTTTTCTTTTCTTTTCATTTATTTTTTAAAAAATTAGTCAATTAAAATTTAATTTTTAAAATACTGTGAATTTTTATGGTATTTTTTACATAATTCTTTTATTTTATTTTTTTAGTTGTATTTATAAGTTTTTTCTTGTAAAACACTATAGATTGATTCAGCTTTTTCTCGTATGATTTTTTTAATTTCTTTTGTGTTTTTATTTTTTATAATAGTTTTTTTAAAAAAAAATTTATTAATTTTATTTTTTAATATTAAGTTGTTTAGAATTTAATTTTGTAATAAAGTTTAATTATGTGAGGAAAGTATTGTAGCTTTTCTCACAAAACATTATGGATTGCTTCAGTGTCTTTTCATATTGTTTTTTTTTATAATTTTTTTAAAATTATTTTTGTTAATTTTATTTTTTTAATATTTAGCTGTTTGAGAATTACAATTACAAGTCATTACAAATGAAATTAAATCATGTGGGGGAAGCATTGTAGCTTTCATCATAAAACACTATGAATTGTTATATTGTTTTTAACATGAATGTTTTTCTATTTTTAGTGTTTTTTTGTTATTTTTTTAAATTATCTCTGTTGATTTTTTTTTAATATCGAGCTTATTAAAAATTTAGTTTTGTAATTTTTTTCTTTAAGAATTATTGCAATGTTTTTCCATATAATTTTTTTATGATTTTTTTAAAATTATTTTTATCGATTTTTTTTAATATTGAGTTGGTTAAAAAATATAATTACAATAAAGCTAAATCATATGGGGAAAACGTTATAGTTTTTCTCATAAAACATTATCAATTGCTATAATGTTTTTTCTCATAGGTTTTTTTTCCTTCCAAAATTATCTTTGTTGTTTTTTTTTAATATTAAGTTTGTAAAAAATTTAACTTTGTAATTTTTTTTATTTTTTATTAACAAACAATCTAAATTCTTTTTTTCCATCACGAAATATTTACTTCATTATACTTTTAGTTTTTATTATATATCTAGCGTTTATACACAATTATAACACTATCAAGTGTTTTTGTTTTATAAGCCCGCAACCACATGCGGGCATGTCATCTTATGATAATTAAAATATATTAAAATAATATTTTAAAAAATAAAAATAATTAAAAATAAAAAAGTAATTTGTTTTAAAAATTACTATCGAAATGCAAAAATAAACCAAACTTTACAACGAAGGAGTGTTTCATGCCAACCTTGTTCCATGCTTGATGTGATTACAATTCATGAGGATCAATAATGTGTATTGAGCTGATGTCATCCTTTTATCTTTTTTTTTTACTCAAAAAAGTAAAATTATCATATTAATTCATGTATTTGTTTTTTAATTTTAACATGGTTTACATATAATATAATAAATTTGAATATTTTTTAATTATTATGTATCTAATATGA